ACTTAATATATTTCCATTCTGTATAAATAAATAAGCTAAATTTTTTATTGAATGAATTTATTTATTCCTACAATTTTTATTTATTTATTTTTTTATTTATTATTAGTGCTACTAGTTATTTTCGTTCACATAAGTCACCTCGTAAACTACAGTTGAAAGAAGTACATCAAACTGATGAAGCTGCAAAACTTAAAGTATTTAATTCAGAAGGAATAACTTTAGCTGAAACTACAGAAACAAACAAAAAACAAGAAAAAATAATTCATAATGAACCACCTCAGGTACCACCAAGGCGAATTCAAAAACAACCAGTTACTCCGATAATTAGACAACCTCCTACCAGACCGCCACCACCTCCACCACCTTCTGTTCCCTCTTCTCCTCAATCAGAATTGGATGATCAACAAAACTGTGAAGAATCCGTAAATAATTTATCATTACAAAATGGAAATGTTCACTACACACGATGTGCAAGTCCAGATTTACCTCTTCCACCTCCACCATCAACAGATACTGAACTGTGTGTACCAGACGAACCACTACCTCCACCACCTGATTTAAATGATGTTGAAATATTAGGACGTTCACTAGGACAAAATAGTTTGTAAGTTTAAAATCATTTACTATAAATTTTTGCTGCTTTATAATAATGCAGTTTTTGAGTTAGCAGAGTAACATTATTGCTCAGCATTTTAATATATTGAAACATTTGATTAAATTAAATTTCATTACCATATTTATGATTATTAGCAAAATTTAAAGCTATATTAAGTTATCGTAATGTAATATGTATCAGTATTAAGCAAAAAATTAATTAATAGTCAAGATTTTTAGGTTCTTATCAGTTTATTTTAACAAGATGATTTTCTAATCTTTATTATTTATTCATTTTTAATTTAAAACAAGAATTTTTTCATTGGTTTGGATTCAATGATACTTAACAACTTTAAAGTCAATCTGATATGTTCAAAATTTAATTTCAAATATATTTTTCTATTCTATATGTATGTTTAATGTAAGTGTTTGAAAGTGTAAAAAATGTTTATATAATAGAAAAATTAACGGTTGCATTCAACTATGGCTTAGATGTAGCATAGAAATAACTGTTGTGTAAAATTCATTGAAGCATGGCGTCACTTGTCAGGACCCATCTGTCATCCTCCCAGCCATCATCTTACTAGTATATTGCTCAAGGCAGTAACTGCCTGTTTGAGGATGACTGAGTCACCACTCAGCCCACCAGTTAAAGCAGGTGTAGAAGGACGTCAGCAAAATTATGTCAAGTGATTGGACAAAATATGTAAGACCTCATTTATACAATCCTGTAACACTGGTACTCGTCCTGGTGCCATTTTTACATTTATTTATGAATTGTCCCATGTGTGAATAAGAAATTGAATCAAAAGAATAATAGTTATTTAATCAACACAAAAAATTTAGAAATAATTAGTCCTTTAAAATAACAAGAATTGGTGTCATTGTTGGAGTTATATTAAGATTAATAGAATATATAGCTTGGATTCCTGCAGAGTAAACATTGTTGTATAGGAAGAGTTGAGTTATTTTTGATGAAAACAACTGACCTGACCTAATAAATATATGTTGTTTAAAAGATATGGGTGTTGATTTGAAACAAATCAAGTAAGTAGCTGCAGTTTTTATAAACAATAGCTTATTTTAAATGAATTTAAATTCAAATTTGAAAACAAAAAAATATATTATGTAAACTTTCATTTATTCTTAGTGAATGTTGTTTTTATATATTGTTAATGTGCTTGTTTCATATAATTGCAATCCAATTATTTTTAATTCTCATCAGATATTATTTCACTCCTCTACATATATTATGCCAACTGGTAGATATGTTTTCAAAAGTAGGTCACATGAAATAAGAATAAAACCACTATATTGCAAAGTAATGACCTTGTTTATAAGATGATAATGGAATGTGGTTTTTGTATCTATTGTCTATATAAAATAGACAAATGTACTATTTTTGTAATATAATATTTGCTTGATTGATAAGCTTTTGTTACCTTCAAATTTCAATTTATAAACAGGTTTAATAAAATTTCAATTTTTTGAAATGAGTAAATTCTTTTCTAATTTAAAATAATGCATTATTCTGAAAAATAATGACTAAATCATTAGTTATAACACAGCAGATATAATCTGTAAAATCAGTTGTAATTGGTAAATTTATTGTTAATATAAAAATTTTTATAACAAAAATGTTGTGTAAAAGTATACAAGGAAAACATGTTGGTAGTTTGATTTGATAAAAAGTATTTAAAGTTTTATTCAATTAAAAAACAGACAAAAATCAAAAGTCTATGTTAACAATATGCTTTTCTGTAGTTTTATTTGATTTTCCTTTTTGCATTACTACTTTTATAAATTACTATATATAGACGAAATATTTAAAAACATAATTATCTAAAAAGTAGCACATAAATATTTATAAATATTTAATTATACACGAGTTTTCATAATGTAAAATGTCTTCTTCTGTTATATAGTTTTATTGTAAATTATAAATGAAATCAATCTAGAAGTTTTAAAGAGAATAGAAATCTAAACATAATTACATTATTTTATNTTAATTAATAATTTTTCTTATTGTACTTAAGAAAATATTAAATATTAAAAAATACAGTATTTTTAAAGTTAAAATAAGATTAAACTAACAAATACCAAAACCAAAGTGATGTAGAAATACGACGCACTTGTATATCAATGATGTAATACATGTAACTGAGAAGCGAATGAAAACAACCAAGTTGAATTAATTAAGTCAGAAAAAAGAAAGTGTGCATTATAATCAAGAAAATGCAACTATTGTATTAATCTTTAAAATATTAGTATTAAATTTGTCTTAATAAAATCATGACGACTCCTGTAAATCGAGTTATCCAATAAGAATAAAATACAATACCAATATAGCCCTATCGTTGAAAAAATTTGCTTATTTTTGCTTGCCTCAAGTTTTGCTTAGTAGAAATGGTTAAAAAGTGCACAAAATATGTACAGAAATACAATATTACAGCACCACCTGTATTGGACAACCACCTGTCTAAAAGACCACTTTTTGAAGGAACCATAGGTGGTTGCCATAGACAGGTTTTACTGTATATATATTTTTTCAAATTAAAACTAAGAAAAGTCTGTATTACTACTGTATTATGTGAATTACTGTAAATAATTACAAGTTTGTGTAATCCCTGCGCGGCTAGCAAATGCGTAAGACACTGGTTCGGGCGTTCTCTGTTAGTGTCGCCATCTGTCGAAGATAATTAAAGTTAATTATATAGTGACATTTATACTCATTGTTAAATTAAATAATATAGTGTCTTATTAATATTAAATTATTTTTTTAGGTTGGATTCGCGATATACGGACGTCGGCAGAAGAGATTCGTTAAATAAAAGTAATTGTGATTCGATATCAAACTCGAAACGACTCAATAAGTTTTCGAGCACAGAATCCGTCTGCAATTGGGGACAGGTAACTTGTGCCAAATCAGCGCCTATTCTTAATATTCCTACGGGAGAATCTCCTCCACCTCCCTACACTCCTACCTCTTTGGGGAGTTCATCCTCCAACGAAGATATGGTGACTAGGAGGTTTAAAAAAGGTTCAGTGTATGGAACCTTAGCATCTAATAGTGGACTCGATTTTTCACCCGTTCTACATAATCGTTCCTATTGGGAAAATCGCGAAAATCCAAAACACGAAAGCAATTCCGAGAGTAAGGACGTGTGTTGGGAAAAAGAATCTGTCGATAGTCAGTCTTCGACTTTAGTTAAAAAACCGATCAAAATTGAAGAATCGATACGAAATCCACCAGAAAACTCGACATCCAACACTACAATTCAGGAAACTTGTCAGAAAGTAAATGCAAAGCGTTCGAATTCGAATCACGAGAAGTATCCTTCTTGGCCAGTCACCGAATCTGGTATCTTAGATATAACCATCACATCGACATCCAGCCAGAGATCTCATTCTTGGACCGCACACACTGAATATCCAAAAGAAACTGTTAAATATTCCCGTCCACAAAAATCGTACAAAATATTAACAAGTCAGTTGCAACCCGTTTTAGAACGGCCAGATTTGAATAAGAAGAGAAGTCAAGAGGGATGCGATCAAATCATGGACATGAAAACGAAAAATGATCCTCCTATCAATAAAGCTAAGTCATCAATATGCATTCCGGACTGTAGAACGGAAAGGGATTGTTCTATACATTCTCCACCAGAACGAGATATTTCCTCTTGTCCTTCAAAAGGAAAGGAGAAACTGGATTTGCCAATAACTTATACAAACAAGTATGATGACTTTTTGAGACATTATACGCAGCATCTACCATCTCCTAGTGTCGGTAGTAGCAGCAGCGGCTATGGTGGATGGTCTAAGGATAGTTGCACACCTTTTCTAGATCGTCTGAGGTTAGAAGGTAATGCATTGCCTTCAGGAAGCGATGTTCCCAGTGAGGCATCCACTTGGATAGGCAGCGCTGAAGATAATCTGAAATGGCACGGTGGTTCTTATAGTGATCTAAGTACTTTTAGTGTCCAGATGTCTAACCGTTCTTCACTTTTTGACAGTGGACATTCCACTATGCCAGACAGTGGACGTTTATCACCTCAGTCATCTTGTAGTGGTAGTATTTTATCGTCTAGGATCGAAACTAGCCCTACGCGTGCCCAAGTGGTATCGAGACACGGTTGCCATCGAGAAAGTATCGCTCATAGTTCTAGAGTGCAACAACCTCAAAGGCATGATTCCGAAAGTGTGGTTTACTATGGATCACAGCAAGGAGTAAAACAAACGTCGAAAGAACAGAGACACGACAGTAAAAGACAATCGTCCAAAGAAAATGGTTATAAACATTTTAATAATAAAATAGAAAATAATGAACTGCTGGAAGGTAATATCTTAAAGTTAAGAAATTTTTGTAGCGAATTAAAAATTTATTCCAGTTCTAATTCTGAGCAGAAGCTAGCCAATTCAAAATCTCAGAATAAAATATCTTACTTAGATCCCGAAAAAAAGCAATCACTGACTGATCCCGAATTGAAAGCCATACAAAAGCAAGCAGTTTTATCCTATTTTCAAAGACAAACTGAAAAAAGTGGCGAGAATAACGCTAGAGACGGATGTCAAAGGAGGAATTCTTTGCCACCTTCAAAGTGGAACGAACAAAGAAAAATTTTACCAGATAAAAGTGCGAAATCTTCCATACAAATAGATACAATTAGAAAATTACAAGAGCATAAGGTTTTCGGCCATTATAGTAAAAGTGTTCCAAATTTATGTGAGTTAAGGAGACCCAGTGGAAGTACGGTAATATCAACTAGTCAATCGTCTGTTCCTCAATTGAAAAAACTTCATTTGGAAGGAAAAGTGGCCTCTTTGGCTACGATTTTCGATTTAAATTTGAACAAGGTAAGTTAAGTTCTTTAAACAACAACAAAAAAAGTATAAATCTAACATCAGTAATATCTTTTAATTTTACATGGTATAATGATTGCTTTTCCCCCACAATACTCTGATAATACACTAAGAACTGAAAGACTTTCAGCTTCGTTTTCCTGAAACATCTTTAAACCAGATATAATTTCTGTCTAGAAATTATATCTGGTTTAAAGATGTTTCAGGAAAACGAAGCTGAAACTTTTTCAGTTATTTGTTTTCAATATGTTATTCCCTGTAAGAAACATTTTCTGAAAATCTTTCGTGCAACATGATACATACCGCCGTCATTTCACAGGCGTGCAAGATGGAGTGCTTTCAAATACTAGTAATTACTGCTGACAGCATTTGTATGAATAGGCCATTAGTGTCATTGATAAAGTTCCTCTCTGACCAGTTCAGAAACTAAAGAAGACCGCTTTCCCGCTTCTGAAGACCTAACGACGCCTTGTAAATCAGTAGAGACCACCCAAGCAGAATTCGGTTTTGGGGAAAGTTATCTTATTCTGGAATGTTCAAAAGTATTATATAAGGTCGCTTCAAATAAGTGCGAAATAACGTTATCCTTGCACCTGCAATACTAACCAGTGGTTGCATAACAAATGCATTAAGTCCGATTAGATAAAACCACCAACAGAGAGAGCGTATTGCAATGTACTGTTTGCCCAGAATCTTTTTATAACTTAATGCAAACATTAATCTTAGAGAAAAACATTCAAGTATAAAGAAATCTTTATATATAAATGTATTGAATAATTGCAAAAGTTTAAAACAATATTTATTTATTAATAACTAAAAAATAATTTCAAAACATCTGCTATTGCATAATTTTTCTCAATTTAAAAGTGAATTTTAACTAAGTTTTTCTGATTGAATTCTATAAAAAAATTAATCTCTTCAGCTGAACGAATAGATTCTTTTCAAATGCATTTAGCAATACAAACTTGCATTTCCTTTATAAAGAATAATAAAGTTTTCACATAAAAATTTTTCCGTCTGATTGATTTTTACTTATATTACTTTTTATATCACTCTTACGCACATGAGTTAGCTTCAGAAATTTTTATTTTCGTTCAACTCTTTATTCTTTTAACAATGCATACCATCTCTTTCTTCTCATTCTCAAATATTCTTTCCTTAACATTCCGAGATACTCATTCAAACTCTCCTTCCTGGCATTCTTCACTCCATCTTTCCAATCCGCCCACTCATTGTTCAATATAGACGTTTCCCAATAGGAAAATAGTTTAACGCTTCACTAACTACATTTGACAATTCTACTTCAATTATTTTATAGATATATAATTTAAATACATAATCTTTAACTAATTACAAATAAAAGCTTGTAATTTACAAAGAATAAAAAGTAGGTCGAACTTAAATCATTATTTTCCTCTTCAGATCATTCCAGGTGAATGCAAAGATTTACCAAAAGATGGTAGCACCGATTCTGGGTGAGTCAAACTTGTTTTATTAACTTAAATAATATACATATTTTATGTATCGTAAATTTAAAGGTACTATAAAATGTCAATCTATTATTTGGCCCGATCTGCGTAAAGATATCTAAAAAAGATAAGATATAACAGCTATAAAATATCTTTAATCGATACGACCTTCCAAGTTCACATAGGAATTTGCATTCTTTCTCGGAGACAAGGGTTTTTCACAATCTCCACTGCCACACGCCCATAAGATCTAATATGACAACTAAAACGCCTACGTATTGTCGGTTAGTTGTCGTAGGTCGATTACACCTACTTTTTACTTGTCATTCCCCAGGGTGGGGAAAGACGTCCTACACATTTTTTCTCAAACTCTTCCACCTCCCGATGAGAATATAATCAGATTCCGTTTCTAAACTACTCTATAAGCACTATTTTAAAAGATTCAAGTATGTCAGAGACACCCGTTTGGTGTGTGCAGTGTATAAACATATAGATATAAGTTATCGTCCTAAGTTATAAGCCGACACCTCCCATCTCTTGGGAATTGGCCAACTATTAAAAAAATTTCCCAAACAAAAAAAAATATCATATTTACCAACCAGTATTGTTTATTGGAACTTTTGCCAGAGTCAACACCCGCAACGAGTTGCACCAAAATAATTTCAGAAAAAAGATATGTTTTCATTAAATTAGGTTAAACATTTATTAACTTTAATTCATTTTGATTCTTCGAATTGGTGAATCTATTCAGCATTTTTTTTAATAACTTCTATAATCTTTTGCTCTATATTAAACACAAATGAGGTTTTTCAAAGAAACTGTTCTCAACTGTTTTTCTAAATTTCAATGAACAATTTCGAACTTAAACTTCAGAAATTATTGCTAAATTTTGCTTTTTACATTTAATTAAAGGGTTTTATATGAATCTGAAAACAGAAAAATTGATTTTTTTCCCTTCTTTATTGGCTTTAAAGAAATTTTTAAAGTAGAAAAACTAATTTGAACGCATTACCAATTTTCGCCGAACTTTTTGTATGTTGAAGCGACAACAGGAACGAATTTTAATTTAAAAAACACATAATTTATTAATAATATTCCTTATTTAAACACGGATAATCTGTAATTTAGTCTGTTTTAATAAAGTTTTCTTCTATTCTGCCTAACAAAAGAGGAATAATCGAAATACCAACGTCGAAAACAAAAAAAAAATCTCTGGTTTCAAAAACATTGTTTCCAAAACTGATATATTTCATCCGTTAAGGAATTTTTGGTAGTTATCCAATAACGCAGAAAAAAAAAATAAAAATAAATTTTGCTTTAAAAACTGCAAAGCGAAACATCCAGGTCGTACGAGAGGTAGATCGTTAAATCATTGGTCCGACCAAAACTTCGGTTGACCGGAAGGAGTAGACAGAGCATGCTCCAAGGATTCTTAAAATCCTGTTCGTGTAATGCCGAAACCCGCACCTGTCCAACTGCAAGGACGTTCAGAACGTCGCTGACAGTGACAATGCCTCTACTCTACACAGAAAAACTCTCTCTATTCAGGTGAGATTCTCCAGTTTACTTATTAACATTAATATTTAATCGCTGCCGCAAATTGCGCACACTTTGTGACGTCATAAAGGCAGACTATACGGCAAAAAAAGGGAGTATTGTTTTCGTCATCGAAACACTCGGGGCGATTTGTTAACGGCATTACGACTGCTATTCAGTAATTAAATGTTTAAAAAAAAGGTTAAAAATTTCCTTAGGTTAGTTATTTCAGTTGAGTTCTAAAAATATAAATCGAAACGATGCCAGAAAGTTTTTACGATTCTGTTTATCCAAAGAAGAGCGTCATTTCTCAAAAAATGTATCGTTTTTTTTTTTCCTCTCTTTTAATTTCTTCCTCGCATTTAAACATCGTAAGTTAGCAAAGAACGTTATAAATCGGTTCTACTACTTTTTTCTTTTCTTTCTTTCCTTTTTTAAATTACCAAACCGGAATTCTCCTTCACGACCTAATTTCGTGTTGAAGTGAAAAGCAACCACTTCCGCACATCATCTCATAGTTTTAGTTCATGTTCGTTCTAGACAAATTTGTGACGTAAAATGATTCCGGTCGCACCAATATCCGTCGGGAAGTAAGTCATTTCTAAATATGATTCGACTACGCATTTAGTTATCGTTAATTCTGTTAATGTATTCGGGATTCCTGCTCCATTACCTTTCACAGTTATGTTGCGCTCAATAGGGAGAGCCGGTTATTAACGTAAAGGATAGTTACGTGTTGGACGAGTCCATTATTAATTGGTGATATAGTTTTTTTAAAAGTTTGTATTGACTTTAAAGACTTTTTTTCTTTTAGTATTATATATTAATCTAATAATTAAAACTGGGTATACTTAATAAACAAAGGGAATGAAATAGATTTCCAGCTTCCTTTTAAATTTGTACTGGAAATTGATTACATTCCCCACATGTTAAGTGTATGTTACATAGTTTTGTTTTCTTCCTTTCTAGATTTGAGACTTTAATGATCTTTTCTTATTGTTTGAGATGCTCTATTAATAGAGAATGGTCATTTATCTGGTAAAAGCCTTTTACAAAATTCATTGCTTGAATTGGCTTTTAACTATAGCCTAGTATCTGTAGCAGTTAATGAAGTAGAATTTAGATTGACAGTGAGCCTAGAAATAACTGTTTTGGACTGGAGTGCAGGGACAAGGACACTTTTCGAATATGCCAATGATTTTTTTTATTTAACAATTTTTAAAATATTACAAATAAAAATTTAGTTTTAAAGTAGTTTTTGGTAAATTTGAAGGTATTAACTAAGTATTAAATTCAAAATAACTTTCTAAATATAATATATCAGGTTAGTTTGACCCAAATTTGAAGTTTATCTGAAGTGAGAACAACTGGTTTTTGTTTTGATATAGTTTTTCTCTATCAACTTTCTTATAGCTTTGAAAGGTTTACAAAAAAAATGCTTGTGCTTAGATTTGCATTAAGAACTAGATAAAGAGAATTATTTAAAATATCTTGAAGGTTGAATTTGTGCATGGTTTGAGTTTTATATAAGGATTGCTACTTCTACTTCACTTTGATTAACCTTGGTTTATTCTTATCGGAATTATTGTTTGGAAATAAAAACTATTTCAAAATATATAGATAATTTTCTGTTCTTGTTTATTTATAGAATATGAAAACATATACATTTTAATATCAGTAGTACATTTGTATTTATCTAAATCTTGATTGTAAATTCTTGTTATTAAGATTAATAATTATCAAAACAACAACTACTGTAGGTTAATAAATATTTAAATATAGAAATTATAAAGTTTTTTTCTAAATAAAGATGAAATAGTAGTCATTATTTTAGTTTTAAGAATGAATTAATAAGGATTTTTAAATTATAAAAATAATTTAAGTAATGTTCTTTAAATCAAAAATTTTCAGTCATTAAATTAAAAATTCAATTTTATTTGAAATATAAAATAAGTTTCTATATTTAAAATTAAATTATTAATATGGCTGCTGTATTGTATTCAGTCTTAAACAGAATCAGTATATTGCAATCATATTATATTAATTATTTATTCAATTATTAAATCTCGAATAACTATTGCTGACATTTCTTATATTTAAAAATTATTAAATTCTATTCTAGTAATACAAATTATGAAATAATAAAACAAACAATTATTTAAAATATTTTCCTAGAGAGAATTTTATAAAATAGAGAGAACATTTTACCATATATCAATTTCCTAAAATATATATTGAAAGGATATTTCATTGTTATGTCAGCAGGAAATGGTGTAATTTTATTTAGAAATTAAATCCAAAATTTAACATTTCATTGCATTAAAACATTGGTGATATATTTTTTAAATAAAAAATCTTCAGAAAACAAGAGTTATTAATACAAAGTATAAGATTTAGAAAGAAATGGTCATCTATACAGTTGTACAAATTAAAAAACTGATAAGAAAGAAAATATGATTAGAAATTCTTTCATTCATGCTGTAGTTCTGACCTTGCACTCTTCAGTCTCACAATAGGAAACATCTACTTAATGATTTATTTGTAGTTAACATGCTGATTATATTGTTTCAATGATATACATTTCATACTTTGTTGAATTATTTGTTAAAAATTTTAAAATTACAATATCTAATAACTGTATTTCCAAATAATATTATATTCCTTATCTGAACAGAAAATCGCCAGCTTCAAATATTATTATCATTCTTGAAAAGAAGCCATTCAGTAGTAGTTTATCATAAGATATACATACTTCTTACCAAAAATGCATTGAAAGATTAAATTTTATTACACTAAATAGGCTAGTTTAAAACAGTTAATAGATAACCAAATTAATAAAATGAAAATTAAATGGATCAAATTAATCAAATGGATAATAAAATAGATATCCAGGGCAAACTATAAAGTGTGTAAATTAAATGAGATTAATAGATTACTATAATTTTTTTATACACAGAACTTGTTATATACATTATCATTACTTTTGAAATGTGTAGAATTGAATGCATAACTATGTAATTAATAAATAAATCATTTGAGTCAACACATGAATAAAAAGTATCAAAATATTGCTTTTTATTAGAGTGAATTCTTTTCAATATGTTCTTTATCACTTTTTCTTTTGAATATTCAAAATGTAAGCACATTATTAAATAATTCACTTCAATAAAGCATAATTTTCTTTATATTTTGAGTTTTGATTGGAATTTTGGAGATTTCTCAAAATAAAAAGTTAACATTAAGATGAAGTAATCTCTGAAACAAAATTTGTTTATTTTTTAAATATATTTTATCTTAAAAACTTAATATATTTCCATTCTGTATAAATAAGTAAACTAAATTTTTTATTGAATGAATTTATTTATTCCTACAATTTTTATTTATTTATTTTTTTATTTATTATTAGTGCTACTAGTTATTTTCGTTCACATAAGTCACCTCGTAAACTACAGTTGAAAGAAGTACATCAAACTGATGAAGCTGCAAAACTTAAAGTATTTAATTCAGAAGGAATAACTTTAGCTGAAACTACAGAAACAAACAAAAAACAAGAAAAAATAATTCATAATGAACCACCTCAGGTACCACCAAGGCGAATTCAAAAACAACCAGTTACTCCGATAATTAGACAACCTCCTACCAGACCGCCACCACCTCCACCACCTTCTGTTCCCTCTTCTCCTCAATCAGAATTGGATGATCAACAAAACTGTGAAGAATCCGTAAATAATTTATCATTACAAAATGGAAATGTTCACTACACACGATGTGCAAGTCCAGATTTACCTCTTCCACCTCCACCATCAACAGATACTGAACTATGTGTACCAGACGAACCACTACCTCCACCACCTGATTTAAATGATGTTGAAATATTAGGACGTTCACTAGGACAAAATAGTTTGTAAGTTTAAAATCATTTACTATAAATTTTTGCTGCTTTATAATAATGCAGTTTTTGAGTTAGCAGAGTAACATTATTGCTCAGCATTTTAATATATTGAAACATTTGATTAAATTAAATTTCATTACCATATTTATGATTATTAGCAAAATTTAAAGCTATATTAAGTTATCGTAATGTAATATGTATCAGTATTAAGCAAAAAATTAATTAATAGTCAAGATTTTTAGGTTCTTATCAGTTTATTTTAACAAGATGATTTTCTAATCTTTATTATTTATTCATTTTTAATTTAAAACAAGAATTTTTTCATTGGTTTGGATTCAATGATACTTAACAACTTTAAAGTCAATCTGATATGTTTAAAATTTAATTTCAAAGATATTTTTCTATTCTATATGTATGTTTAATGTAAGTGTTTGAAAGTGTAAAAAATGTTTATATAATAGAAAAATTAACGGTTGCATTCAACTATGGCTTAGATGTAGCATAGAAATAACTGTTGTGTAAAATTCATTGAAGCATGGCGTCACTTGTCAGGACCCATCTGTCATCCTCCCAGCCATCATCTTACTAGTATATTGCTCAAGGCAGTAACTGCCTGTTTGAGGATGACTGAGTCACCACTCAGCCCACCAGTTAAAGCAGGTGTAGAAGGACGTCAGCAAAATTATGTCAAGTGATTGGACAAAATATGTAAGACCTCATTTATACAATCCTGTAACACTGGTACTCGTCCTGGTGCCATTTTTACATTTATTTATGAATTGTCCCATGTGTGAATAAGAAATTGAATCAAAAGAATAATAGTTATTTAATCAACACAAAAAATTTAGAAATAATTAGTCCTTTAAAATAACAAGAATTGGTGTCATTGTTGGAGTTATATTAAGATTAATAGAATATATAGCTTGGATTCCTGCAGAGTAAACATTGTTGTATAGGAAGAGTTGAGTTATTTTTGATGAAAACAACTGACCTGACCTAATAAATATATGTTGTTTAAAAGATATGGGTGTTGATTTGAAACAAATCAAGTAAGTAGCTGCAGTTTTTATAAACAATAGCTTATTTTAAATGAATTTAAATTCAAATTTGAAAACAAAAAAATATATTATGTAAACTTTCATTTATTCTTAGTGAATGTTGTTTTTATATATTGTTAATGTGCTTGTTTCATATAATTGCAATCCAATTATTTTTAATTCTCATCAGATATTATTTCACTCCTCTACATATATTATGCCAACTGGTAGATATGTTTTCAAAAGTAGGTCACATGAAATAAGAATAAAACCACTATATTGCAAAGTAATGACCTTGTTTATAAGATGATAATGGAATGTGGTTTTTGTATCTATTGTCTATATAAAATAGACAAATGTACTATTTTTGTAATATAATATTTGCTTGATTGATAAGCTTTTGTTACCTTCAAATTTCAATTTATAAACAGGTTTAATAAAATTTCAATTTTTTGAAATGAGTAAATTCTTTTCTAATTTAAAATAATGCATTATTCTGAAAAATAATGACTAAATCATTAGTTATAACACAGCAGATATAATCTGTAAAATCAGTTGTAATTGGTAAATTTATTGTTAATATAAAAATTTTTATAACAAAAATGTTGTGTAAAAGTATACAAGGAAAACATGTTGGTAGTTTGATTTGATAAAAAGTATTTAAAGTTTTATTCAATTAAAAAACAGACAAAAATCAAAAGTCTATGTTAACAATATGCTTTTCTGTAGTTTTATTTGATTTTCCTTTTTGCATTACTACTTTTATAAATTACTATATATAGACGAAATATTTAAAAACATAATTATCTAAAAAGTAGCACATAAATATTTATAAATATTTAATTATACACGAGTTTTCATAATGTAAAATGTCTTCTTCTGTTATATAGTTTTATTGTAAATTATAAATGAAATCAATCTAGAAGTTTTAAAGAGAATAGAAATCTAAACATAATTACATTATTTTATGCTATTTTAAGGCCTGGTTTTTCCAGCTTGAAAATAGCTTGGAAAAACTTGGTAATATTTATTTGCTTAGCTAATTGCTTTTTAATGTTAATTTTAAAAAATGATTGATTTTTAAGAAGGCTACAGACTAAGAATTTTTAAATTTTTAAAAATTTTAAATAATTTAGTTCACTTGCTATTTAAAACATAAGTATTTATAAGATGTATCTGAAGGAAAAAACTTATTTTGAGAATCAGAAAAACTTCAGAAATTATTCATGAATAAATTTTCAAATTTTATATTGCAGTTATCAAGAAAATTTATTAAAATGATATAAGAAAGACAAAACCATTTTTAAAATTTCATAAAATAATTATTAATTTTGCAGTTTTGTTACACAAAATATTTATTCTTGCATTATTATTTTCTGTATATAAACTGAATGAATTACAAAAAAAGATTTCTCCAAATATGTTGAAATTTTACTATCCAAAATCTAAATGTATATAGTTAATTCTAATACATTAATCTCAATTAAACAAAAGCAATTAAATAATAAATTGTACAATACAGGAATGCTGAAGAATTATGATGATTGTAAACAATTAGTCTATAATTAATAAAACTCTAATTATATATATTTATATTATCATAATATTTATATATAAAAATATATAGCTTAAAATTGTTGCAACACTTTCAGTCAAGAAAAAGAAAATATGAATGGCAGCAGCAGAAATTGATAAATCATTACAAAAGTTTTGAACAACTGATATATAAAAATTTAGCTTTTTAATATTATTTCATTATTAGTCCTTTTACTTTTTTAAAATTGTTCTTTATTAGCATTATTTTCAGGATAAGTGCTTTTTTCTTGTAATAAATGAAGTAACATTTAAAGCTTGACAAATTTTTATAATTTAGTATTTACAAAGGCTAAATATTTAAAAATAATGCTTATATGATAAGAATCCCAATTATATAATATAATTGGATAGTATGTTGTACTGCATAATATATAAGTAACATATATATATATTATATGTACAGTACACATTATATTATACATATAAGTTATTATGTAGACTGTTGAAATACTAATAATTAATAATAATACTTTTTTTAATTCAGAGTTTATCCAAAGAATTCCTACATGTCGTATCGCAGTGAGAAAAAAATTGGCAGACTAGGATTTGATGGTAATTATCGTCGTATTTCTCCAACACCTTCTTTTTCTCAAGAGTCAAATCAGCCTTTTCAAAAGGATGATTCAAATTCAACAATGTCCCCTGCTTCTTGGGAACAATTACATAATATTCGTCAACATGGACCTACAGTCATTTTCCATTCTGATTCAATGCGTGAACAATCTCATTCACAGAGAAGAAAAAATTCTACTACTAGTATAGAATCTCAAAATAATTCTGCTTCTAATGTTCAAAATACAAATGAAGAAAATTCTTTAACTGTTAGTGCCAATAATTCTGATGTCAATGAACAAGTGAGTGATTCAGGTGAGATTAAACAGGATATACTTAGTAAAACAAAAAATAATGGACCAAATTGTAAAATTGAAAAAATTGAATCTAAGATTTCAAACAGTGATTTGCCAGATAAATCAAAAGAAAATTCTCAATCTGAACATCAAAAACATTTGGTAGAAAAGCAAGTTAAGTTAGCTAGCAATGAAAATAGGGATGAAAAGACTGATTGTAACTTAGATTCTAATTCAAATACATTGGCATCTCAAAGTGAAAAAATTGATTCAGAAATTAAAACTAATATTCAGAAAAATGATGAATCTACATATACTGTTCAAGTTCCTGTTTCTGTTGTGCCTCGTATTAATAGTGCTACGCAAACTACAGACACACCTAGTCTGAAACGTAAAGCAAAAACTAGAGAAGAACTGGAATGTGAAAAGCTCTCTCTTGATTTCATTGATCATTGTCATGACAGAGTTCTAAAGAACTTACTAGGTAAGTTATTCATCAAACATTCTGAACTGATTATATATCAAGTTTTCTAATTAATGCTTTTGGACATTAATTAGAGGTTGTCTAATTTAATCCATAGATTTTAATTATTAGTTACAGAATTTCAGTGCTTCATAATCTCCAATATATAAACAAATCTTAATAATAATTTTTCTTTTACATTTCACATAAGCATTTTACACAATTATTATAGTTATTTTTATACTCATAAATCAAATTCATATGCAATGGAGTAGAATTTTTAAAACATTTAATAAAACATTTAACACACAACATTTGAGAAATATAAACGTTTTCAGCCTAATGGAATAGGCCATCATCATTTTAGAATTTTTAATTTAATTTTTATACTCTAGTTTTATTAAGTCATTTATTATAGAATCTTCAAATGATTGTTTCTAACTTGTGAGTGAATACTTAAGATGTAAATGAAACAAACACTTAGCTATAAACAAAACAAATTTGCTCAAAATTTTTTCTGTTTTGCTTTATTGCATATTTATAGAATAAATTTAAATATTTGAATTTTTATTCTTGTTTGTATCAACATTATCATAATTGAAATGAATTTATAAATTATATACAGTACTTTGTGTTTAACATAAATGCATATTGTCATAAAAGCAATATATTACTTCTGAATTGTATGATTAATATTCATTTAATGTATCTACTGTAATATTTTAAAAATATATTTTACATTTTCTAAGCAAGGAAACTGATTGTAGTGCCATAGTTATGAGGTCTATGAGACGGCTAAGCCACCTAAAAGACATTACAACACAGCCCTGTGCAGCAATGCTTATGTGCAGTATAAATAATGCATGCTTTCACTTTCATCATATAAACTTACACTACTGTCATTTTCTTTGGACTGTAGTTGAATAATACTGGCTGAAAGAGAGAAAAATAGCAGTCATTTTTCACAATTTTTTCTGTGTCATGTTTACATCTTAATATTTTATTGTGTCCAATTCTTTGTTCTTTGCATAATCTGATAATGCAAAGAACAGTTTTTAATAGATTAAATTAATAATAATCACTCACATTAAGCTTAGAAGCACAAAAACTAAAGTGATAAAATTGAAGGCAATGTTACTAATACCATACAATCAATCAAGAGTAAAATCAATTATGATTTCTTGAAAAATGGTTTAAAACAAATTTTGCATTACATTGCAACATGAAATATAAATTTGTTTATATTTATATAAATTTTATTATATTACCGTTTTCTACATTGAAAACTATGAATATTTTATTATAGTTCTATAATTATAAAAAAATGTTTAGTTTTCATACTTGGTCTGCATATATTAATATTTCTAAATAAGTTTTATTACTTCATTATTTTTTTAATGTTAAATTTTGTAAGTAGATATTTGCATTTTAATTTCTTCACTATGAATGAGAAAAATAATGAGAATGTGGAATGAAATCAGTTTCTAACATAAAAAAATATAAAATATTAGGAAAACATTCATATTAATCACTATATGAACTGTAAAGTGTTTTTTTTAACAGTACCTATAGATGTCAATTTTACTACACAGGTTTAAAATAATAAAGGTATTTTAAAGCAGATGTTTGGAGAAAAATATTTAATATTTAACAAAACATTATCATCATTAATATTATGATAACTGGTAATAGCAATTTATAAGACTGTAATTATTTGGTAATAAATAGTATATATTTTAGGAATAAAAAAATCTACAGATGACATTAAATACTTAAACAAAATATAGTGGAAAACAATAATGATAAAAAAGTATATTTAAAAAAATTACATAGAACATGCAAAATATGATACTTTTTCAACATTGATTTGATATTTTTTTCAATGATTTTCTAAATAAGCAAGGCATATCATTAGCTCCTGATATCTATCTAGTAAATCCTTGTGTTTTGAGATAATACTATGTATTTTTTTAAACATTTAAATGCTATATATATATATAATGTTTAAAAAAAAAGAGAGATAAAGAAAGAACTGAATAGTGCATCAAATTCTTTGAATTCAATACTTTGATCTATTCATCATCTTTAGAAAAGAAAATATTAGTCTGAAAAATGATAATTCTTTATAAATAGGAAAGTTAACAATACAAGGTATATCTATAATATTACAAAACTGTAATTTTTTTCTTAAATAGTGCAAATTCAACTTGCTTTATATTTTAATTTTTTGATAAAATTACTATTATTATAAGAGAAGAAGAAATTTATATTTTGATCCTAAATTAGCTTTCTTTGGTTTGTATTGCTACTTAAATTTATATACTCTTTTTGTTCTGCTATTTTTATAACTTAACATTCTATTTTTAGACCATTTTATTTGTCCTACTAAATGTCACTATAAGCATGCTACACGTATGTATTGTACAGTGCATGTAATGCATTACATGCACTACATGATGATTAGTTTTACTTCAACTTGTATTTTTTAAAAACCTTGTAAATTTTAACTAATATTTTATGGTAATTGATTTACTTTATCATATGAAAATGGACAAGTAAGAATGATTGATTCATTTAGCTTCAGTTTTGATAAATTAATTTTGAGTCAATATATCATACCAGAATGACATTTTTGACTAGTGCTGTTTTATTTTATTCTTTGACAGAATGTTTTCTTTATTTAGAATGTACATGCAATATCATTAAAATGGCAATACTCTAATAATAGACACATAATTAAATTTAAATTTTAGTATATTTAATATCAAATATATCATTTACAGTTACAGCTGTGAGCTAGTTATTGAACCATCTGTATTCTATATTAAACTATAATCAGCTGGTGCTTTTCATCTGTATCATCTGTAATACATTAAATTTCTTTAATATAAATTGCAATAAATTAAAACAAAATTTTTAGAATGAATGAATGAATTCAGTAAGATGATATCAGAGGTCATATAATAAGAATCAAGTAACATCTAAGAGACAAGTAACATTTTAAATTTTTTTGTTTTAATGATTTATGTTTGTTATGGTATGAGAAATTGACAGTTTTCTATAATTATTAACATGATGAACTGCTAAGATAATTTTAACAAAAATATATGGTTTCATTAATAATGTTTTTATTTAAAATTATTTAATTATGCTGAAATAACACCCAACACCCTTTAAAAATAATATACACATACACACACATACATATACTGTATATATAACCATTTTCTAAAAATAGATGCTCTGATTACACTTAGAGTAATGCTTTGTTTGTTAGAAAATGATATAAATACTCAAGAATGAAGGTTATAATTAAATACATTTTAGTGTTAACTTTGAGATATTGAAAAAAAAAAACCAGTAAGAAATTTATTGTAAAAGGATTTATTCAGCTGCAATTTGAAAAAATTGTAGACCTATAAATTTCCACTGTCTTCCATTTGTTTGTCTTTCCTTAATCTCAAGAATGGAGTTAGATAAATGAAATCCAAGACCAGAATTGGGAAACCTTAGGGGCAGGAGGCCTGATTAACTATATACGAACTTAAATCATGCTATTTCAATTCAAAACTTTTTCTTGAATGGTGTTAGCTAGATGACTGGCACAATTCTTTTGTTAAAGGAAAAGTGTGATGTACAGGGCAAGGTTAGTACTACTAATAATTTGAGGTGGAGAGCATATATTTTAAATTAAATAAATTAAAAATATGATTGTCACAATGCCAAGCTGCAATTTTTAATGTCACAATAAATAATTGCTTGATGATAATAACACAATAAACATTGAATCTAATCAAAAACATAATCAAAATATGATTTAGAAATTTTATTTTTATTTAATCAGTTAATTCTTCAATTTATTAAAAATAAATTTGAATATAGAGACTCATTCTGTAAAAAAGCATTTTTGAAGAGTGAAAATCTAAATTAAAATTATTAGAATTCAGACAAAAATAATTTTTCTTTTAAACTGATAATTGTTAATTGTTGAAATATAAACAGTTAATTTTCATATTGGCAGATAAAAAAGAATATTTTTTAATTATGTAAATTTTATAGTTGATGTGTATTCTTTGTATTACACACTTTATTTAAGTAACATTAATAATGATGATTAATGTAACAAAATTTAGTACAATGTTTTTGTAAGTGTTGTGTGTATATATATATATAAAGATAATCTATTAAAATCAGTGCTGATCTTTTAAATTTAGTTTGTGCTGATATCAACATATTTATTCTTGTTGGTGTGTCATAGTTTTTCAGGAGTCTTGAATTTTTAAGAATTGGTTGTAATTCAATACTATTGTATAATAATAAAATTGAATAAATAATTATTAGTTTGCCTTTCTATACACAAATTTTTATTTTTTATAGAAATATTTTTTGTATTTGAATAATTTTTTAAAATTTACAGTTTTTTCATAAAAATATACATGTTTTTTTTTATTTGATTTTTATATTTTTCATGAATATGATTCAATTTAATTAAAATATTCTATAAAACAAAATAAAATAGCAAATTTTCAAGTCAAAATTTGTTTTAATGACAATTTTCTAAAACTGTTCTGATTTTTAATATTTAATAATCAAAAAACAAAACAATTATTAATGTTATTGTTTGTTGTTTAAAGTACACTCATTGATGAAGTTATGCTCTACATTGAATTGTCTGAGTATTGCAAAACTTAGCATAAAGCTATCTCAGTCAGGTATGTAAATGTGGTCCATTTTGTAGGCCAAGTAATGCCATCAGAGTGTCTTAAAATCACTACCTTAGTATCAAAAAGCCTTGTAGAGGCTCACTGTGTTAGAATTTTCAGTGTATTTATTGTTTGGTGGGCTTTGAATGTCAGGCATGCCTGTAAAATGCAGCCAAAGACTTTGCACACAGTTGACAGAAGTTGAGAAACACTGTGTTATCAGGCTAAATGAGACATGATGCTGTTTCATCAAATGCTCAACAGCAAATCAGCTCAACACTTTTTCCGCTATCATCTTCTGGGGTGGGCTGCAATTCTCGCTGAAATTGTAGTTTTTTTTAATGTAGTGTAGGACCTACAAACACTTGTCTTTTTCTTCTACCTGCGACCCCCCTGAGGGTCGCGACCCACAGGTTGAAAAACACTGCTCTAGTAGAATAGTATATACTTTTAAAGTGCAGAAACAAATGACCTTGGTCTTATCATTTCGGAGGATGTTAAAAATTGTGGGATTGCATTTATAGACTACATTTAAGTTATGTTTGGTCACCTCTTTGTGTATTCTTCATAATTGTGGGAAATAGTTTAATGTGATCCTATGTTGTTTTGTCATAACATTGTTGAATATATTTGTAAATTTAAAATTATTAAAGTTTCTTTATAAACAGTAAATTTGATTCTAGGAAATGGAAATTAAATGCTAGAGTTTGCAAACATGATACAATAGGATATTATTTCTTGTTTATATTAGCAAAAATTTAATGTTAGTAAAATTTACTATTATAGTTGTACAACTTTTGTCTTTGGTTGTCTTCTGTCTTTCAATTATACAGTATAACCAAATGTATGTTATACATTTACATTTTGTATATGTTAAATGAATATCCTAATTTTTTGCTTGTAGATATATTATAAAATTTTTTAAATTTTGGTTTAATACTTTTCTATTTTCATATCTTATAAAATTTATTAATATTTATATTTAAAAAGACAGGTTAGATATAATTTTTAAAATACATAATCTTAATAATGTACTTTGGAACTGTTTATAATGATTAAATTTAATCAAGATAAGACTAAATTTTTATTGCAATAACTATGTTAACTTTCAAATTTTGGATATGATTGTCTGATAATTATAAAAAGTTATGATACATTAAAATTATTACTATTTATCTGCAAAAATAATTAAATTTTAAGTTGTGAATTATACTGATTGTGTGTTATATTAATGACTTTAAGTAATAGTTTAAAACAAAAGTTTAGTGAAACAACAACTTGTAATTTTTAGGTATTAGATCTAAGCTTCTTTGAAATGAACATATATAGTCAAATTAAACAATATTGTAAAATTAGACAATTTTATTATTTAAAAAAGAAAAAGATTAAATATATAACAGAAAATTTTAGTTTTATTTTTCATTGTCATCAGATGTACAGTACACTTTAAATCAAGTAAATTTAGAAGTTATAGATAGTTGAGATTTTTTAGTGTTGTTAAGTTTAGATTTAATGTGACCTTCAAAAATAAATTATTCAAGAAGTTAGATTCTCCTTTTTCCTCTTTTATTCTTATATGAACTTTTTAAATTATTCTACAGTTATGAATTTGGATTCATAAAATTATGGTTCAGTTATCTAAAGAACTGAATTTATCATTTGATATTATTTTGCAAAATGATATTCCATAATTAAAAATGTAATCGGTTTGCAGTTTTTCAGTGTTTAGTAAATGAATGAAGTATCAATTTAAAGTTAATAGTAACGTTAAAAATATAGTTTAAAATGGTAACAAGTAAAAAGTTTTTAAAACATAATACAATATTTTTAAAAAATTGTATAAATACAAAACGACATATTCACAAAGGTAAAAAACCTCGCTTCTGTCTATCTTTCCGCCGTTTCTACACCATCAGCAATCCTTAAAAACAATTCACAAGTTTCCGAGACGACCTTCCTTTTTAGGCTACTGTTTCGGCAAAAAATGTAAATATAGGTAAAGCGTCCTCTGGTGTTTATTAGCCATTTTTCACAATATCACATTTTAAGTAAAAATAGTAAAATAAACTATGGCCGGCGTAAATTACATTTTTAAAAAATTGTATAAATACAAAACGACATATTCACAAAGGTAAAAAACCTCGCTTCTGTCTATCTTTCCGCCGTTTTACAATACAATATGTTTTTAATACAATGTGTTATAATACAATACAATGTGTTATAATACAATATGTTTTTGGATTAGCATTTGTTAACATTTTAAGCATCATCAATATTTTTGTGGGTTATGATTAAAATAATTAATATCTATGAAAAATTTTTACAAAAAAATTTAATTTTATCAACATGTTGAATTTATTGCAAACAATTTAAATTTGTAGTGAAATATTTTTAATATTTTACAGTTTTTCTTTGTCATTAATACATTAAAATAACATTTCTTTTTATCTAGACAATAAATACAGATATTTTTTTAAAATGTCAAAGGATAAATAAGTAAATGTCAATCATAAAATTATCTTTAATATTCATTTTAAAATATTAGACATTGATAGCAAGCATATCATGTAGGAAGAAAGGGAAAATTTGATATTTTTATTAAGACACAAACGTCTTCTAAGGATTTAGATCTGAAATTGTAAACAAATTATTGATATTATATTAAGTATTCATCATTAAGTTTTTTCCTAAAAATTTAAATATTAAAATATCTTTAAATTAAATTTTTTATAGATCTATTTTTATATACATTAATCAGCATTTCCAATATTAATTTTATGTTGTATGTCAGTTCTGCTTTTTAAGAAGATTAATTTCTAAATTCCTCTTCTTGTCCTTCTTGCCATCTCATTCTTATGATATTAAGTTTGGCTTTCATTTAATGAATTTAAATTTAATATATGAATCAATTCCAAGTAAATAATAATTTTTGACCATAATAAGTAATACTGAATTTTTGTTTCACCAGATATCAGATTTATTTTACACTATGGCAAGAAATGAGAACTTAATGTTATGATGTATATATGAAATGAAATCTAATATAATTAATGCAATTTAAAAAAATAACACTAAGAAAATCTTTTACTACTATGAAATTATTTAAAGTTTTAAGTTTTGTGTATAAATTTGTTTCCTGTATTTTCATTTATTTGAAGTTTTTAATTATATATTACAGTTTTTGACAATAAAGTAAGAATTTTTTAATATAATATAAATTTTATTCAATAGTCAAACTCAAACTTAATGGCAATTTGTTATTTTCAGTCCCAGCACCAAATCAGAAAACAATGTCGGATTATTTGGAAGGACTGTTAGATTTAGAACTTGAAGGAGGAGGACAACCAACACAAAGGATTATTCTTGAAAAAAATGAAAAATCAAATACAGAAAATTGTCAAAGGTTTGTAATAATTGGATAATTTTTTATAACATTTCAAATGCTATTTTGATATTGAGGTCATTTTTATTTTTGGTATTAAAAGTTTTTCAAGTTCAGTTGACTCATCTTCAGGTACAATTTCCAAAGTTAATTGAACCTAACTGACATTCAAACATTCCATTGGATATTAGGAAATTCTAATAGCATTTGAGATGTTATAATGTAACAATGAGATTGGAACTTGAAGATAATTTTTAAATTTTATTTTTTAGTTTTTACCAAACATTGAATTATTTTAAATATTAATATTTTAAAATCTTTTGCATATAATTTTCATACAATTTTTCATGCATTTAAGACACAATAATACATTTTTATTTGACTTATTATTATATTTGACATCATTTTGTAATGTTGAACTAATATTGCATTTGAATAAACAAGTCTTTTACCTGAATACTCTTTCAGATTAGAAAACATCTTTTATCATTAATAAAATAAAACATTTCGAAAGTATTCATAAATGTATCTTGTTAAATTTTTTATTCTCTTATATATGTTACTTGTTAAATTACATATTTAATCATATAATTTAACTTATTTTATCAATTTAGTTTTGTTAATTTATATCAGATTTTAATATAGTTTTTTTTTTTTAATATGAAAAATCATGAAAATCAACAAGATAGTATCAAGCCTAAAACTTTCTTTTAACAAACTATTAATTGTAAGTTTGATGTACTAAGAAAAATTTATTAAAGTTTATAAGAAGTGTATTTAATAAAAAACAATTTTTGTTTTTTGATAAATTAAAGATAACAAAAGTTCCCAGAATGAAAATGAAATGATTTCTATTTAATTTGATTTACTCATTTTGTCTATTTGGATCTTTGTCGTTTGTAAATATTTACGTTATATGCTAAGATTTTTATTTATGTATTATTTAAGTTTTTATTAAATGATTCTTAAAAGATTTTTTGAATTGATAGTCAGAAGTGATGAAAAATTGTAACTACTGATATGTTATTACTTAGTTAAAGGAAAATTTTCTATTATCTNTTGAAGTTTTTAATTATATATTACAGTTTTTGACAATAAAGTAAGAATTTTTTAATATAATATAAATTTTATTCAATAGTCAAACTCAAACTTAATGGCAATTTGTTATTTTCAGTCCCAGCACCAAATCAGAAAACAATGTCGGATTATTTGGAAGGACTGTTAGATTTAGAACTTGAAGGAGGAGGACAACCAACACAAAGGATTATTCTTGAAAAAAATGAAAAATCAAATACAGAAAATTGTCAAAGGTTTGTAATAATTGGATAATTTTTTATAACATTTCAAATGCTATTTTGATATTGAGGTCATTTTTATTTTTGGTATTAAAAGTTTTTCAAGTTCAGTTGACTCATCTTCAGGTACAATTTCCAAAGTTAATTGAACCTAACTGACATTCAAACATTCCATTGGATATTAGGAAATTCTAATAGCATTTGAGATGTTATAATGTAACAATGAGATTGGAACTTGAAGATAATTTTTAAATTTTATTTTTTAGTTTTTACCAAACATTG